AGAGAGGGCATGAATCCAACTTTGAATATGTGCTTATTCATTATGCAACAGATATTTATGAAGCACCTACTATGTGCCAGGCTTTGTGCTAGGTAGGCCAAAGCTGGCAGCCTTTCTCTGCTACAGAATTAAGCCATACTGCCCCAAACGGATTGTTTGTTGTCTGTTTTGTTCTCTGACATATCCCAGGTGCTTAGAACCAAGTCCAGCACATAGTAGGCCCTCAATAAACATATATCAACTGGATATAACTACAGATATTGTGCCTTGTGGCCCTGTGCTTTCAGCTGTCTAAACGGCTTCTCTGTCTCACAGTACCAGCAGGCGATTCGGGAGCTGGTGCGCTGCGTGGCCCTGACACGGATTTGCTATGGCGACCCCCACTGGAAACTGGCAGAGGCGCACGTCAACCTGGCTCAAGGCTACCTCCAGCTGAGAGGTGGGTTTTCTGCTTTTTTCTCCCCACCAAATTTGACTCACACTTCACTGGAAGGATTGCGTTTTCTTGAACCTTCTCCACTCCACACGGTGAGAAGCCATCTCCCTCAGAAAGAGTCAAGGAGATTTTTTTTATATAACATATAAAAAAAGAGAAGGAAGATTTTAGCCCTTTGGAGCTTTGTTTTTTATGATCCTAAGAAAATTAATTTGTTAGACTGAATTGTAGAAAGGGCCCGGGGCACAGAGTAGGGGCCTAAAATGGGGTCCGTTCGCATTCAGATTGATGAAGAGGCTTCTGCCTGTAAGCGATCAGCTCCCCCACCCCTATTAAATAAAAAATTAAACCAAGTGGGCATAAACAGAAGGTAATTATTTGGATCATACCATTTAACAATCCAAGGGTAAAACTTACTGTAGGCTCGGCAAGATTCAGGGGTCCGAACACGTGATCCGTTTCCATTTCTCTTTCTTTCTACCACTCGCCTCTGTTTTTCTCTGTATTGTCTCCATTTTTTTGCCAGGCTTTGCCCACAACATTTCGACTTCCTCCTCAGCAGTCCCCAGGAGGAAAAGACTGTCTCTCCACCAAATCTGGGCATCTGAGGATGTGGGCATTCTGATTGGGTCAGTGTGGGTTGCGTACCGAAGGCTGGGGAGACTCTGATTGGTCAGATCGGTCTTTTGACTCTACCAATGGGTCCTGAGGAGAGGCCGGCCTTGGCTAAATCACGCAGATTGGGGGCCAGGTAGCCCCCAAAAGAAGACAGGAAAGGAGGATGGGTGCGGGGAAGGTAAAAACAACAGGATATCATGTCTTCTTTCTGATTGGGCAACTTATGACTAGAGGCACGAGAGCGCATCTTTGTACTGTGTTTCTTCATGTGAAAAGATGCTGATGCTGATGCCGATGCTGATGCTGATGCTGATGCTTGTGGTGGTGGTGACCACACGCTGTCCCAGGCCTGAGGAGACAGACTTGGAGGGATTTGCTGATGCTGATGCTGATGCTGATGCTGATGGTGGTGGTGAGGCTGATGCTGATGCTGATGCTCCTGGTGGTGGTAGTAGTGATGATGATGCTCAGTTCCCAGGATCTGCCCAGTGAGTAAACAAAATAACAGACATGGAAAACACCACGATGCCACACGTAAAATTGCCACCTGATAAATTTGGCCAACTCTGATTATACGCTGGTTCTACCTTTTAGATGAGGGACTGTCAGAGCTGGAGGGGACCTTGGAGATCATCTAGTTCACACCCCCCACCCCCACCTCCTGTGTTTCCAATTCAGAGGCGATAAGTCTGAGTTGACACAGCTCACCCCAGAGCCCTTTGTTAATAAGCAGATGATCTGAGACTCTGCTCTAGAATTTTGGATGCCGGTACCTGGCATCTGGGATTTCAAATGATGCTTTTCTTCCATAGTCTGCTCCCTTTCTGCATGACAGTCTTTCTTTCTCGATTTAAAGTAAAAAACAGTATCTGCTATTTGCTGAGGTCTTATAGGGTGCTGGCCACCATGCTATTTTCCATGCATAATCTCATTCGGTCTTCACCACCATCCTATAAGGTGGGTAATATTATTATCCCCGGTTACAGTTGAGGAAGCTGAGGCCAGAGTTCCAGGGTGAGTGGTGAGGGGATAAGAGCAGGGACTTCATTCCGGTCGGTGTGACTTCAGAGCCAGTGTCCCTGAACCTCAGCCCCCACTGCCTCCAGTAAACTGAGTGCACACGATGTGAACGCGTGGACCAAGTTGAAAACACAGTCTACCATGCCTTTTGCAGTACCGCGTGCATAGTTGGCACTAATAGATTTCTGGCACGTTGAGGAAGTGTGTGCTTTAAAGAAAATGAGACACAATTCTGTAAGAGGTTATTCATGAAGCGCATACCCTGAATTTTCTCTATCAGAAAATATATTCTTTATATAGGAACGGAATCAACTTCATATTTGACAGCGATTTTAGAGATCTGAGGTACGATTCCATAGAATGAAGAACATAGGACCAGGAGTGTGTGGATATGAGTGGAGGGAAGTGTGTCAGGGGGTGTCAGTGTGGGGAAGGGGGTGGGAGAGTGAAGTGAAATGCCCCGAAACATAACAGGTGACGCCCAGTGGCACTTTTGCCACACATTAATAAGCCTGTGGAAGGACACCGGGCTGCCCCAGGGAATTGGTTCTTGGCAGTACCTTTTTTTACTCCATTTTTTTTTCATATTAGTCTATTTATTACCACATAGGAATAAGAGGTTGGAACACATTAGCCCATTACCTCATTGCAAACGTGTTTGTAAATTTTCGTAGATATCATCATACTTGTATTATGTGAAAATAACTCTCCAAAGTCTAATTATGGATGGGTGAGCAGAAGATTCCGAATTTTTAGTATTCCATTAAGCTTGCCATCACAAAGCCAGATTTAAAATTCACGAATATCTTCTTTCCTGCCCAGAATGCGACAGTCCTTGCATTCCGTGAATTTTTTTATAATTACTTAGAACATGTTTTACGTCTGATATCGGTGAGCTTTCAAAGCTGTTCAATTCCTGCTCATTCTGTTCATTTTATGTCTTAAAAAACACATTCTGGGAAAAATTTATCTTGAGTACTAGAGTGGGAAAATTCTATTATAAGTACTAGGTATGAAACACTTCTTTGATTTCTACAGTCGTGACAATATTTCAGCTGCCTCGATACATCTCCAAGTGTCACTTGACGATACGTGAAGGAGGCCTCATTAGATTCTTGTCCAGCTGAGATGAAACAGACACTTCTTTTTCTTTGTCCACAGGACTGTCACTGCAGGCAAAACAACATGCAGAAAAAGCCAGAGAAATCCTCACCAACGCCATCATGCCTCCCTTCAGCGACAATCTGGATGTTTTCAAGTGTTCGATTGAGCTTTTCCATACGTTGGGGAGAGCCTTACTCTCCATTCAGAAGTATCCTTTGCGTCTACTCCTTACAAACACAAACACTGCTCCGAGTTCTGGTATTTAATGCTCAAGGCCACACTCAGGGAGGGTGACGGGAAGTATGAGAGCCAGAGATTCTGGGGTCCCAGAATCTAGAAGCAAGTGTAAAGTTTCCTGAACACAACTCAGATTTAAGGAAGCTGCAGAGAACTTGACAAAAGCAGAGAGACTTTTGAAGGAGCTGCTGCAGTGTGGAAGGATTATAAAGGACGAATGGATAGAAATTCAAGCTCCGATCACATTGTCTTTCGCACAGTGAGTTTCTGGGTTAGGACTTTCTGTGTACGCGGGGGCTGGGGGTTCTTTGCCAGAAGCATCTGTCTTCAAGCGTGAGGCGTTTCTTCGTGATGCTGTGTCCTGGCTTTTACGGTTATGACAATCTTTCATGCTGACAGGACATATCTCCATGTGTCACTTGACAATACGTTTGTAGTATATATCTCACGGTTTCTCACTGTTTCTCACTTGGCGTTGTTTGTAGTCGGTGTCTGTACCTTAGTTCACTGCTGCTGCTGGCTGCTGCTCAGCGCCACTTAGAAGGCGTCTGTCACATCGCGCTCGGCCATCCTCCTAGCTCTAGCCACTCAGCTTGTCCCCAGCTCCCTGCTCCCATGATGGCACTGTTACGAGCACCCTCATGCAGCTCCTGTGGCCAAAATGGACTTCTCCTGGGGTCTGTCCCCCAGGGGTAGGGTTGCGTGGTCACAGGGTACATCCGTACTTCAAGTTCATGGCACACTGGCCAGCGCTACCCCCATCGACACTCCCCCTCCCATATATGTGGGTTCCTGTTTCCTCACATCCCCAATAATATTTGCATTGTCTGTCCTAACCTTTGCCACCCTATGCATGTAACGGGCTGGCTAATTATTTTTCAATTCTACTTAGGTTTCTCTTATGAATGAGTTCGAGGACCTCTTCATATACTTCTTAGCCATTTGGGATCCCCTTCTGTGACCAGCCTGTTAGTATTCATCCTCATTTTTCTTGTCTGACTTCCTGTACTTTTTTGCCGTTGTTGATAATCCAGAGATTATCGTATATTATAAATTAGTGCTATTGCAAATATTTTCTTACTTCTATTGCCCATTTATAAATGTTGTCTATAGTGTCCTTCGTGGCAATAAAATTCTTAATTTTGCTAGAGTCAAATTCCTTCATTTTTAACCTAATGATTTGTGCTTTTGGAGTTTGTCCAGAAAGTCTTTCCCACCCAAAAGTTAAAGGTATTTTCCAAAATGTCCTGCTTTAACTTTTAACACATACCATCATCACCAACATTAACTTCTTAGTATTCATAATTTAGCGTATAAATTATGCTTGAATCCAAAGAATAGTCACGTGATATGTGTTCGTGTGTGGATATATGAGATTTTTCAGGGTATTCAGCTGTCATTGATGGCTGATTTTATTGCATTATCGATGGAAACGTATTTATATGGTATGGACTCTGAAAGTGACTGAAGCTTCTTTTGTGACCTAGTCCAAGGGCGATTTTTGTGAAAGTTCCAAGTGTGCTGCAAAAGAAATTGTGTTCTTTACTTGTGTAAGGTTGTAATAAGTCTGTTGCAGGGGGACCTTATTAATTCTGTCATTCAAACTTACATTTTTATCTTTTGCCAATTTGATAATTAATTTTTAAGATGCGTATGTTTAAATTTTGAACTGCAATTATCGGTCTAGGTAGAGCTGTCCATGGTTCTGCCAGACGTTGTTTTCTATAGTCTGATATATTCTGTTGGGCGGGAGGTTAACATGGCAGCATTTCTTAATCCATTATTTTATCAGTCAGTGTATATTGTACTTCTCTGTCCCTATATCTCTGTTTATTTTGCCTGATATTAAAATTGACACCTTAGCTCTCTTTCGGTATAAATTTTCCTATGAAAACTTTGTCCATCCTTTAATCTTCATTTTTTTTTGTTCTAATTACTGATACACTGGAGTGTAAATTTGCTTTTCTCCTACTAGGTTTATGTTCCTTTCTTTTCTCCTTTCTTGACTTCTTTTAGTTTAGTCAAATATTTTTATCATTCCGTTTTCCTATTAACTGGTAAGTTATACATTATTTTAGTTTTCTTCTACTGGTTACCATAGAATCTGTCACTTATATCCCTAACTTATTAGACTCTAATGGAAATTAGTCAATTTAACACCTCTTGGACAACGCAAGGACCTTTGAGTGTGTTAATTCTCTTTATCTCCTGCTTGGTCGCATGTTTTTCTGTATTTAAATCACCATATATTTCATACCACCGAGAGAAAGAAGATATTTGTAATACATATACCTGACCAAAGGCTCGTATCTAGAATCTGTAAAGAACTGCTGTGTGTCAATTAAACAAACATAATCGAATATAAATATGGGCAAGAGACTTTTCACAAGAAAAGTACTCACATAGCTAGTAAACATTAAACAATGTTCCAACTCATTGAAGAAATGAAATCTAAAGTCATAAGATACTGTTCCGTTGCCATTAGAATGGCAAAGGTTTTTAAAAGACTGATAATATCAAGTGTCGACAAGGATGTCGTGCTATCCTATGCTTTCTTATATGTTGTTATTTAGAACAAATTTGGTACAACTGCTTTAGAAAGCTGCCTTTATCTACTACACTTAAAAGTGTGCCTACCCTCCAACCCAGCAATATCACCTCTAAATACACACCCAATGGAAACGCATACATATGGTCACCAAAAGGCATAGCCAGAATGTCCAAAGGTACGCTACTTGTAATAACCAAGAACTGGAAACAACCCAAATGTTGATCAAAAGCAGGATAGATAAAATCGTGTTCTGTTTATACAAAGAAAATGATCCAGGCACTTCCATGGTTAACATCACAGATGATTCTCAGAAGCAAAATGTTTGGAAGAAGCCAGACCCCAAAGAATTCATACCGTAGCATTGCACTTATGTAACCAGACGAGGCCAAGGGCAGGGACTGGGAGGAGCTATCAGTTCAGAATTCTCTCTCGTGTGGTAAGGTAGGAAATATGCCAACCAGAGGTCCAAGATCTGATATTTGTTGCCATCTGTTGAGACCTAACTCACATTATTAGTACTTAATGTTGAACACTGTTGCTACGGAATAGAATAAAATATCTTTCTCTGCCAGAATCCACACCTCCTCCAAGAGTGCTTTCCAAATTAGCAGTTCCAAACCTCGCCAGCAGATGGCGCGCCTCGTACGCATCCGTGCTGAACACGTAACAAATTTACTTGGCGTTTAGCAGAGTTAAACTTTGTTTTCTTTTTTTCCATCCCGATTCTTCACCTTGACATAGTCACTGGCACTTCCATGTTTAAACTGGTGGTTTTCGTTCAATCACTTGGCTTCGTTCCCTCCTCGAAATGTGAAGGTTTTGTGCAAACCGAAGTGCTTTAAGAAGTAATGGAGGCTTTGGTTTTGTTCATTTCTATAGTTATAATGGCAAGCACAGGGGCCTTTTCTTTTGCCAGGTCTTGGAGGTGGAAGGCCAGGATAATTTCTCAGGCAGCTCTCGCGGGATTTACGTTTCTCTTAAAAGGGTATCTTTTAGGTGCATCCTCTCCTACTCTCGCCTTGCCTTTTATGGTGCTCGTCGGAGTATGAGAGTGAGTCACGCTCCCTGCCTTCCATCCCTCAATGTGGCCCGAAGCCTCATCCCTTCTACCTGGCTGTGCTTTCATCCCAGAAATGATCGGATTTTAAAGCATGTACTTACCTCACAGACTAATATTCTCTCTTCAAGGCTGCCCCTGGCAGTATTCTTTCCTGTATTTTTTTTCTCTCTCTCTGACTTGAGTTGGCTGAGTGTTTTTGTCTTTGCTCTCATGAGCCACCTAAGCTGAGAATCAGATGGTCTTTTATAATTCATTTTAAAGTTCGAGTTTGTTTCTTCGTCTTGAGATTTGGAAAGTGATTGTAACAGGTTTCCAAAGGGGGGGAAAAAAAAAAATAGGGAAGGTTTCTCCCTTAGCCAGTTCTTCCTGGAAACAGGTAGAAAATAATGGAAAAAAAAAAAACAAAAAACAAAAAAACAATGGCAGGTTGGGGCGGTATGTATACCTACCTACCTGCCATCACCTCATTAGCGTGCTGGAGTTTTACTCACTTCCATCTGCTTCCCCACAAAGCGTGCCCGCTGGCTTTTATGGGACATATTTGACACTTCGGCAATAACGTTTACTTTCAGACCCCACCGTCGTCCCTAAGTCGGTCCAGTCAGCTTTCCGGACTCCGCGTTCATTTTTTATTGCATACCGTCACCTGGAGGTCCTGAGGTCCAGGCTGCACCTCTGTAGACGTGTTTCTTTAATACGTCACTTTCTCTGTGTTTGTCTTTGGGGCGTAAAGGGGTTCGAAGCCCTGCTTCTCCCTGCTGTTCTCCAGCAAAGATGCTTCCCCTGTCGGCTCCTCCCGGGGGACACTGTGTGCTTGGAGCGCTTTATGCCTCGTCAACCAAGAAGGAGATGGTTTTGTTTTTTTGTTTTTTTCTGGCACTTTTCCTCACCCTACATTCCTGTGATTGAAGCAAGGTTCTCAACTTACGCTTTTTTAAAAAATCTTTTTTTTTTTTTCTTTAATGTGGGGAAGCAGAAAAGCCACATGGCACAGATGGCTTTCATATACTTTATCTACTTCCTATTTCTTGAATCCACGAACGCTTTACCGTTCCAGAGTGTTGCGTTTCTGTCTTTCCCTCTGTCACTATGTCCTTTCTAACACCGCGTCAGGATGTAGTGAAACACACATTTTTCTTAAACATTTGCAAATAATAATAACGGTGATTTTAAACAACTGCACTAGCTACCAGCTCTCGACTGCTTTCAATGCCGGGCTCTCGCTAAGCGCTTTGCAAGGCCTCATCCTTTCTAAGCCACGGTCCTCCCCATGCGGTGAGGTCCTCTGCTCATTTCTATTTTCAAATGAAGCATCTGAGGCTGAGAGAAGCAAGGTCATTTCCCAGGGTCACAGCCGGGAGGTGGCAGAGCAGCGCTGTCTGTCACTTTCTTGCTTCCAGACCCTGAACCCTGACACCTGACAACGCGCTCTACAGAGCAGTCTTTCCCTGAGGCGGAGGGAGACCCAGGTGTAAACCTTTGCTTCCTCTGCCTCCAGAAAATCTCATCAATAGCGTTCCCACAAAGCCTCTGCTTTTCACTGCGGCTCAGTATTCTTGCCAAATTCCAGACCTTTTCTAAGGAAACCCTCTGTCGCCTCGGTAATGCCACAGGAGACTGCATTTGCTTGTTGCATGTTAAGAGCAAGCGTTCATCCCTCTGAGAGCCTCTGAAGCTCATCGGAGAGGAGACAGCGTCTCATCGCGTGCTCTGTAGAATCACTGCGGATATATTTTCATTCAATACAATATGCCACGGTTTAAGTTGTGGACCTGCCAGATTAACACACGGCCACATTCTGCTTTCAGAATTCCCTGTCTTTTCATCTGTCTGCTGTGCTTCCCGAAGTGTTTCGATAGCTTTAGGATCACGCATTATGGGCATACTAGCTAATAAATCCTCAAAGCGTCCCTGGCAGGTAGATAGAAATGAAAAAGGAGAAAACGCTGCTCTCTCAAACATTACACGTGAGCAAATGGAGACAGAAAAGATGCCGTGAAATTGACTGATGCTCTAAGTGAGTTGGAGATGGGGGTAAGACCGTAATTTAGTTATTTCCTGGTATAATCCGCCCCTCGATTCTCTTTTTATTAAATCTATTGCGAAGCTAAAGTAATTTTATTTTCCATCCTGTCTATTATGTGAACAGCGTGCTGTCGGGGGACTCCGGAAGGCTCACTGTACAGTGCATTAGCTTGACAGCCTCCGTTTCCGGCTGTGGGGTAGTGCCAGGGTCTGAGAAGGGCCTGCAGCAGCGCCCCCACACAGCGAGGCACGGAAAGCCCTTCATTCTGTGCACACACCACACAGCAGAGAGTTAGTTGTCTTTGCTCATCTTTTAAAGAAAATATCTCAGGCATATGAAAGTATAGATATTGATACTCGCGTACACACCGCCAAGCTTACCAGACAGAACATTCCAGATAAACGGAAAGCCTGTTATGCATTTTTGCCAATCCTATTTTCTTCCCCGTACATTACAGGTAATTATCTTGCTGAATTTAGTGTTTTTCATTCCGCCGAATGTATGCATGTATATATATATATAGAATGCACAGCATTATTTTTTATTTTTAAAACTCTATGTATATGTTTTCTTCTATAGCTTGCTTTTTTTTCACATTACATTTGCATTTTTGAGACGTATCAATGTCAGTTGATGTGTGTAGGACCAATCTCTTCATTTTAATCCTTCATACCGCGCTTAATCCATCGACTTTCCCTAATTATCCATTCTCATGAACATGAGGGTTGACGTGCAAATGGCCTCCAGTTTTTTACCGTTAGAAACACTGTTTTCACGATCACTCTTACCCGTGTCTGGGAGGATTATGTCTGCGGTGTCTTCCAGGCGTGAGATCGCCTGGGAGGATTATGTCTGCGGTGTCTTCCAGGCGTGGGATCGCCTGGAAGTTATAATACAGCATGAGAGAGATTTTCCGAGCAGGGGGTTCACAGTTCTGTGGGAGCAGAGTCAGGTGTTCACAGAGCCACCCAACTCAGTCTGGGATGTCAGAGAGCGAAGCCAGGGCTAGGGTGAGGGAGCCGGGTGTCAGGACACACCATTTAAGGTCACGGCGGAAGTGAAGGACCTATTCTTTACTTCCTCGGCACATGCTTCATCATTTATGAACGTGAAAAAGGAAGAAGAAATGTTGTGTTGTTTTTTTCCTTTACTCAAGGATCTGTGGCATCGTCTGAGTTCTGGAGGCTAAATTAGGTGGGGCAAAGTCTGAAGTCATTTTGAAAGTATGTGATCTTCTCTAGATTCTAGACTAGAAGTTGGCACATTTTCTTTTTTGTAAAGGCCCAGGCAGTGAATAGTTTAGGTTTTGGAGGCCATATTGTGTCTGTTGCAGCCACTCAACTCTGCCACTGTAGTGCAAAAGCAGCCACAGACAATATGTTACAAGTGGGCGTGGCCATGTACCAATAAAACTTTATTTACAAAAACAGTGAGTAGATTTGGCCCCCAGGCCATAGTTTGCTGACTCCTGTTTTCTATTATGTAATCTTCATCTACCAGGAATCTACTGCTTTGGCTAAGTGATTTGTTGTCAACCATGTGCTTCAAAGCCTTTTTCTGTCACCAAAGATGGCACTGGGTTTTCTCTTGAAAAAGAAAACGTGATACTTACAAAGGTAATTATTACATTCTAAGCTTAGAAATCAGAAGGCAAGTCCTATATTACTGGTCACCTCTTAGTCCCTTCCTTTGCAAGACTAGGGTTGCTGCGAGCTACCTACTTGGTCCAGAAACATGTTGCTGTTCTCTTCCTGTGTTTTAAAACCTCTTTACAATTATTGAGGAAATCCCAGTTCATAAGCTATGCAGACAGCAGTTTATTTCATTATGGCCACCTGAACCACAGGTCTGAAAAATATCTTTACTTCTGTCAGTCAATTACTTTGGAATTTATCGAAGAGCAAAAATAGTGGAAAATATCCAACTATCGAGTTGAAAACAAGACTATTTTTTGTAGTCTCTTAGTCACTCTCTCACATGACATCTCAGTTTACCCATGGGCAGTTTGGGAATTGTAAGGCCTTTTTAAAATAAAGATTCTGGGGCGGAACGCAACATAGCAAGGGTTGGTATCTCTCATTACGAATTTTGTTTACATTACAGTTTTCCATGTAAAAAAAAAAGTTTCTAATAGTCTTACCAAATATTTTGGAGGCGATTGTTTTTAAATGTCTGTTACCATATTTGCTGAGCAAAATATAGAGATACATTTTTTTATACGAGAGAGTCTTATCTCAAGAAGTGACAAGAATATTTCCCCACTGCCACCCTTACCTGTAATTTTTAAATTAACATTTTTCTGATGTAACAGTACTACAGTTTTATAGAAGAAAATTCGGGAAATTTAGAAAATATAAACGTGAAAAGTAGAATCACTAACAACCCACTTCTTAGAGGTAACTATTGCCAACATCTTAAGCGATCATTTAGATCTCTTTATGCGTATGTGTACATCTAGATTAGATATATTGAAATTTTCATACGCATGAGATATTATAGAAAGGATTTTTGTAATCTGCCTTTTTACTGAAGAGTATATAGTGGAAATACTTCTATATGGATAAATACGGATCGGCGTCAGCTTTAATGGCTAAGTGGCATTCTATAGTATGGATGTACTTACTGTAAGCTGCTTAGATAACTGCCTCTGGGTGTATTTTAAGTGCTTTGTACTTTTCCACTGTTACAAAGAATGCGTAGGTAAACATTCTCATATATATATCTTCTTGTCTTGCCACACTGTCTCTTCAAGATAAGCTACGGAGGTGCAACTAGCAGAAATGCGCGTGTGCATATATATGTACAATTCTGATACAGAAAAGGTTACGCCCAAATTATATTCTCCCCAACAGTTAATGATAGTGCTTCGCGAGCTCACCACTATTGAAGAATTTCTATAATTTCTCAACAGATCAATTATCAGCATCGCAGCGTCCTTAATGGTTGCTGTTGTCGTGAAATATTTTACATTTTTTAAACCAACACCTACATAGCACTTACTATGTGTCAGAGACTGTTCAAGGTGTTTTTATGAATATTAACTAATTTAATCTTCATAACCTGGTGAAGTGAGCATTGTTACTTTTTCAATTATGTTTAATCACTTTGATTTTTTCTTTTTAGGATGTATCAAAGTCAGAAGAAGTCAAAAGAAGCTCTGCCCCATTACCAAGAGGCTTTAAAATATACTGAGATCAGCAAAGGTGAAGAGAGTCTCGAGTGTGTACCGATACTGTTTTTTTTTTGTAGGAGTTATAAAAGTCAGAAGAAATAAAAAGAACCTCTGCCCCATTACCAAGAGGCTTTAAAATATACTGAGATCAGCAAAGGTGAAGAGAGTCTCGAGTGTGTACCGATACTGAGGGAATTAGCGGGTGTAGAGCAAGCCCTGGGGTGCCACGACGCATCCATCGACCATCTCTTGCAGGTAAGCTGTGGCACACTGGCCACCAAAGCGGTTCTCAGCCCAAAGCTTTTCATGGACACGAGCGGAATCGCCGCTCTGAGAAAGCCTGGCTTTGTTATTTGTTTGAGATGCGTAGAACATGTGGCCTGAAGTAAGATGTTCAACAAACATCTTCATATACTGGCCAGGTGGGTGAGTGTGGCGTACCTGTCCTCCCCAGGTGTACATTCCACAAGCAGCCCGAGTGTCCCGGAAGATGACTTTTTTCATGCTAGGTGCATAATTTAAGTCTTATTTCCTGGAAAGTCTCTTTATCCTTTAGTATTGATCTGTTCAGAGCTTATGTTATCAAATTGACACGGATTCTTTTTACTACCCTCCAAAACCTTCACCTGAAGCCACTTAGAGTTGTCACCTATTCGCTGCTGTTCTACTTTATCGTTGTGTGATTCCTCCATGAGTGTGTCTGTCCGTCAGGCTTCTCCAGAGAAGCAGAACCAATAGGGTATCTGCACGTAGAAAGAAAGATGATTTTAAGGAATTGGCTCACGCAAACGTAGGGGCCGACAAGTCGGAAATCCGTAAGGTAGGAGGCCAGCTGAAAACTCAAGCAAGATGTTACAGTCTTGAGGGGGAATTCCTTCTTTTTTTGAGGATGATCTCCTTTACTCAGACGTTAATCACATCTACAGAATACATTCACAGCAACATTTAGACTGGTGTTTGACCTAACAACCGGGCACCATCACCCAGCTGAGTTGACACAAAAAATTAACCATCACAGTGAGTTTTCGTATCATACCATCTGCAGAAAGCACATTTTAAATTGTTTTCTGAGAATTTTTTCCTGTTACAGTTGTAAAATATAGACTAGTTCATTCTTGTTATTTCAAATGTGATATAGTAATGACATGGCACTGAGATTTCTTTACTGCTGTTTTTAAAAATTTATCTGATCTTTATAGTCCCACCTACAGTGTATCAGAGGGACCCATCCTATCACTTTATCTGGATTATCTTAACTATTACTACCACCCTGTGACATATTACTATGTGTAATTTATAGAAAAGGAAGTCAGGTATTAAAAAAGCTGAGGAATATGTCCAGGAAAACCATTCATGCTCATAGACGCCATCACCTAGATTCAAACCCAGTATCTTTAGCAAGATGATTCTGGCTGACCCAGAGAGGATGGATGCGGGGGGACGTGTTGAGAGTGGGAGTAGAGGGACCAGTCAGGAGGCTGTGGAGGCAGCGGAGGCTAAAGGCGATGGTGCCTCAGCTAGGAAGATGACGGCGTGGGTGAAGAGAGCCGGTGCGTTTGACAAAGATTTAGGAGGCAGAGGTGATGGCAAGTGGAGATGGATTGGATGTGGGTAGAAAAGGGAAGGCGGAGAGTCAGAGGCGACTCCTGGGTTTCTGTTCCGAGCAACCGATTGGATGCTCGGGCCATGTGCAGCGAGGGACACGCGTGACCAGGTGATGGAGAGATGGCGAGTCTGGGTGTTGGCGGTGAGTCTGGGTACAAGTGGAAGCGCCGGCAAGGCAGGCAGGGGATCAGGACCGGAGGTCAGCGAGCACGTCTGGACGCCCTCCGCTCTCACGTAGCAGTTCCTTGCGGGAGGACGAGATCACCTTGGGGGTCTGTGGACATTGGTCAAGTAAAGAAGAATGACCAGGCAAAGGAGACAGAGACGAATTTGCAAGAAAAACATGAGGACAAGTGAAAACGAAAGTAAGATCGTCTGTGTCTTCTGATGTCTTTTGCTGGTGCAGAGGACACGGAGTGGCTGGGAGGATGAACGAGTTCATGTGTGCAAAGTGCTTCGCACAGCGCCTGATACATCATGGCACTTTTGGCCTTTTAAAATTTTTTTCTTTCTTTCCCAGTCTTTCTTTTCTCTTTCTTTCGCCCGTGACCTTGTGGGAAACATCGGGGCAGTGAGAAGGATAGAAACCAGATTCGCATGAGGCAATAAATGTGGATGTCTGTTTCAAAAAGTTCTGAGAGGTCAGGAAGACTGACCCAGACTGACACAGGGCTTGGCGTTAGGGAACCACGTGATTTTGAATCTAAGCTAGAAGGATTCCTCTGTATTCGGGTTATAGGAGAATTCTCTCATTTTTATAAAACTTGTAAAGTTTGATAGGTGGCTTTTCATTTGTCGTTTATTCTTGAGGTTAGTAAAGATTAGAGAGCATTTCAAAAAATAGTTGCTGATGATTGTTAAAGAGATTGCTCGGTGAAGTCGAAATAGCATTGGACTTGAAATCAGAAGCTCCGAGTTGAAGTTCAGATTCTTCTGTTTACCAGCTGTTTGATTGGACAAGTCATTGAGCCTCTCAAGAAAACAACAACAACAACAACAACAACAACCCCGCAAAGACTGTGGTCACTTTACAGAACCATTCAAAGGTTCAAGACAGAAAGTATTTTGTGAACCATTAGGCATGTCGCCAGTGTGAGCTACTTTTATTTATTAACAGTAATTTTTAAACATTTATCAAAGCTCCCCCTTTACTTTGGGAACTTTACCTAAGGTATAGACAGGTGCAGGGTGGCTGCAGCTCTCCAAGGGACCTCGTGCCTCAAAGCCGTTTATTAAGTACACAGCAAGAAAAGAGGTTTTATTTCCCATCTTGTTTTCCACTCTTCATTCCTTTGGAGTGAGAGAAACGCCCAGAGAAAAAAGAGCTTTTATTTTCTGCAGAATGGTAGAAACGTTCCAGAGTATTTTAGGAACTAACCCATTAAAATGGAGAAAAATAAAGCAAGCCCCACAGAGCCATCACGCACGGAAGGCAGCAGTCCCAGAGACTGATGAAAGCTGTCATCGGCCCGTCGGTCCCTCTGCAGCAGGGGGCTGTGAGAAAACCATACAAACGTGATTGTTTCTGAAACTCCTCATGGCAGATTTTGGCAATAGAACCTAATTTTCCTATCCAAAAGAGAAATTACAGGATTTCATTCCTGCGAGCGAGTGTGTCTGTGGGCGTATGTTTCCAGGGGGGTATAAGTGAGCACCGCGCTCGCTTACGCTACTTTCTCGCCACTGACACTTGAATTACATATCTCTCGCTTCAGTTTGCAGAGCGGCCCTGACGCTCAGTCGTTCCCAAAGTTAGGGATGTTCGATTTGCAAAGTGTAATGAAAGAACTTATCGGTTACTCCGTCAAAGACTTTGCGGGGAGAAAATCTGGCTTTGGGTTTCTGCTGTGGGTGAGTGATCGGCTCAGGTGATGGCTCGTGGGTGCACATGCTGGCTCCTGGCAAACTCAGGCTACTTCGCAAATGGCAGCGCCTCTGACTGGTTCTTGTTAATTGCTGGGTATTTGCTGTAATGTGCAAGTTTTAATTTTCAAGATCTCTGAAAATACTAGCCTTTTTGTTTGTTTGTTTAAAATTAGAAAAGATGTAGAATGCAATTATGATTTTATGCATTATGAAAATGTTCTAAGACTGACATAGATCCAGGTGCCATACTGTTTTTCTTTAGGAAACAACTTTTTTTTTTAAAATAAAAATCATAATTCTCTTTATATTTAAAAGCAATCAAGCCATACAGAAAGGTATAAAGAAATGAGTTACAAGTCAGTCCAGGCCTCTCCTCCCAGAATTAGCTGATGTTGGTGACACTTGTAGCATCTTTCCTCTGTGTACGTACAGATGGGTATAAAATGAGAGACGGAGAGAGGAAGAGGAAAAAGAGGAAGGAAAGAAAGGAAGGAAGGAAGGAAGGAAGGAAGGAAGGAAGGTTGGTTGATGAATTTGACAGCATAAAAATGAAAATCTCTGTGACAAAATATCCTAAAGTCAAAAGATAATTGTTCTTATAAAATCTAAATGAAAAAAAAAAAAAAACTCAGTAGAAGTATGGATAAAAGACAGGAACAGACAGTTTATAGAAGAAACACAAAAGGCCGATAATCATACAACAAAAATCTTTAGCCTCATTCGTTATTTTAAAAATGGAATTTAACCAAAGAGATGCTTTTGTTCACCTACCTGTGAACACACTAGGAAAGTTTGGTGACGCCACATGATGGCAAGGGTGTGGGGTAGTAGGTGTCCTTGTGCCCCGCTGGTAGGGGTGGGGAATGGCACCACTCTGGGGCAAAATAATTGATGTTCTCTCTCCAGTTTTATAATGCGCCGACCCTTTGACCCAGCAGTTACATGTCTAGAAACTTACCTAACCCATGGGTGTGTATAAGTGTGCCAAGATGTTTGAGCTGCAAAACAGAAAAATTAGAAATACCCTTAAAATCCATTCATAGGGGACTGGTTATGAAATTATGATATATCCAGGTGACGGAATACTGTAGAGCCACTGTAGGGAATGGCATGGATGTGTATGTTCTCACATGACAGATGTTCAAAGGGGG